TGGTGGTAGAATTAGACTGGATGAGCATGGAAGCTGAACATCTGTCTTGCTTCTGGAAATCTCTTTTAAATGTCACTGCTGCTGTATAATAGCACTGCAGAGTTGCAAAGCTTGTGCTGCTGCTGCTGTCTGTGCTATGTCTGTCTTTTTTGAGAAGCTGAACCATCAGGATGCCACTAGCTGCAAGCAGACAATCCATGGAAAGCAGAATTGTGCAGATCATCCCCTGCAGTTATACAACGTTCCCTGTTCCACCTTCCTGTTTTCAGACAACGGGATCCCAGTGATGAGGGGCGGTGGAAGAAAGCTTTTTCCTTAACAGAGTGGAATCCCAGAGCCTTGTTTCAGGATTCTGTCCTCAGCATTGCTGGCTGGCTGTAGTTCCCATGCAGTGCCTTTGGCACATTGCATTCTGCAGGTCAGGAAGTGATGAAACTCCTCAAATTTGGGAGTTCACTGTGTTCCATCAGCGTGTCCTAAGGCTTCAGTGTCTGTGCACCCTTGCTCGAAAGGAGTGTGTGTTATCACAGGAAAGGCTTTGGCTGGTCAGTAGTTTGGGATACGTTTCTCCCCATAGTTTTTTCAGGCCCTGGATATCTAGCAGATGGATTCTTCTTGTTTTTGATAGTGTTCATTTTAACCACAAATGAGGGCTGTTTTTGTGCATATCTTCCACCACGAAGCGCTGCATGGTGTCAGATCCCCCATCCCCTGTGACTTCAACTTGGGTGCAAGAATTTCAGCAGCTTGGGACTGGGTGGCAGAGCTGGCCTGGCCCACCCAGGCAGCTCCAAGGTAAGCATTGGGTTCAGAGTTCTGCTCCACTTCTGTAGCATTTTCCTTGTGCTGGGTTTGGAGCCCATAGAACTGACAGTCTGTTGGCCACCCGTGGTTTATCAGTGTATTTTTTAGTTAATTTTTGCTACTGTTTTATAGCTTTTTTTGTTGTTGTATTTACTCATATTTTACTCTACCACTTAACCTCTTCCATTTTGAACACATGTTTGTTTACAAGACACATCTCAGTGTTGTTATCAAGATGCTATCTTGGTATTGTCAGCTATGAAATAAACTACATCAGTAGTTAAGGGACGTTGTCAGAATGGCCAGATGCTTTGAAACTCAATGTGTGAGTTTGGGGTGTCTGTAACAACGTTGTTCTGTTTTGTTCCTTAGTTCACCTGTGTAGGAAATAGATTGATCTTCTGGTCCTGGGTGTGGGTGGTTTATTTTGTCTGACCAGTTTTGGAGCATCTTATTGCAGACAGGCAGCCTGAGCCTCACAGGATTTGTGCTCAGCAGATCAATTGAAAATCCAATGAAAATCAGATGAAAATCCATTAAAATTGCAGTTGTGTTCCTTAAAAAGCTATTTGGGGTGCTGTAAGGAGGGGTGGTACGTCTTGTCTAAACAGGAATTGTTGTGGCTTGATTTGAGTTTAATTAAGCAGTAATTGACAATGGCTGCTGTTTAGTCTGAACAGTGTTAGCAAATCTGCTTAATGTGGAGCCTTTGGTGACTGCCATCAAGTTGAGTGGCAGTGAATATGTGCCGTGCTAAAGTTGATCTGCTGAAATCAGAGGCTGTCAGATGAAGATTAAAAGATAAAACGTGGTGACAGTTGTTTTACACAGTTCTTTGGGGCTGTTCCTGCCAAAGGCTTTTTCCTGGATTGACATCTGCGGACGCCGCGTTCCACTTGGAGTGAGCAAAGCCTATGGACTCTGCAGGAGCCTTACCAAGCAGGTTCCAAACAGAGAAATATTCCTGAAAATAGAAGTAAATCTTTTCTCTGTGGCTGGCTTTTAGTCCTAAGGATGCAATCTGAGGGCAGCAAAGCTGCACTGATGGCAGTGCTGCGTTGTTTCTGTGTTGTGCATCACTGTTGGACCTTCTGCTCAGATTCCCTGACTGTCCTGGTGCTGCCTGAAGCAGGAGGAGAGTGTTGGTTTTGGGTCTCTGGTAGGTCTAGAACTGAGGAGTGTTGTTCTTGATTTGTGCAAAGAACAAACAGACGTAAAGGAGAAGATGTTCAGTGCAGGAAGTTGGCTCTTTCTGGAGGATGCTGCTTTGCTGACTTGTCACCATCCTTGTTTTGTTTGTTCCTTTCCCCCCAAAAAAGTGACTTTCAGGATAAGAAAGCTGGGCAGGGCCCCATGCTTCTGCTTGGATGTGCATGCTGATGTATTTCCCTTTGCAGACAGCAAGATGTCAGGTTCATATAAACTATTCTACCAAACACAGGAGAACTGATTAGAATTGATTTTCATTTCCCCTCCCCTTCCAAAGAATGTTGTAGAAGACTTTAATTGCAGAGCCGTCGCTGGCATCTAATTAAAAAAGCAAACTTGTACAGCTTGTTTCCTCTCTGCATTGTTTCCACCCAGCTCTCTCCATACAAACATACGTGTGCACACCTATTCACTGCCAGGGGACGTGTGCTCAGGATGCAGTGCAGCTTCCAGGTTTGTGCACTCAGAGCAAACACTGCACGATGCAGTTGCCACTTGTAAAACGTTTTGCACGTGCTGTGGATGCCTTTGGGGGGCTGTTCTTTTTTTCTCTTGGAAACACTCAGATTGGTTGTAGCACAGTGTGGGCTGAGGATTGCCAAAGGTTCTTTTTCAATGCGTTGTTGTATGCCGCATCTTCCTGGCAAAAGAAGTGTCTTCAATGCATCTTTGACCAGATTTATGTGCACGGAACAAAAGTTGAGGCTTTTTTATTTTTATTTTTTATTTTCATCTTCCTAAAACTTTCTCTCTTGAGGCCAGAAGGTGTAATGGTCAGCATTTGGAAAACAGGGGTCTCGTAATGGAGGCACGGATCCGACTGTCAGCAGTGCAGGGAGGTTGCAAAGCACTGCTTGGAGCCCACGTCCTCGAGCAGTACGTGCAGCAGTGCTGTATACCAATAACTGGAAGCTGTTTTTTGTTTTCTTTTCCTTATTTTCTGGAACACAGGGAGGAAGGTGGTGAAGATGGGCTCTGCATGGATCCTGGTGTGTGCTGTGTGCCGGGATGCAATACCTGGGTGTGCTCTGGGCTCCTCGAGCTGTGCTGTGGGTTGTTTTGGCAAGCATGTCTTATCTCTTCAGGCTTTGGAACTGCTTTAGGGAATTGTGTTGACTTTTTGTTCTGCTGTTGTTCAGTTGCACAGAGTTTTATATATATGATGTACTAGTTTTTAACGTTAATTCTCCGTGAACAGGGTTGAGATTATTCATTGTAGTTTAAAACAAAAAAGAAAAAAAGCAAAAAAAAAAAAAACCAATGACAAAAAATATATTCTAAAACTCCCTTTGAAAATCTTGTTTGTATCCTGTTGCAGTGTTACCAGATGGCCTTATGTACATCACAGTGTTTTGTGATAAGTACAGTAGCACATTTAATGCTTATCTCCCCCAACCCCTCTGTTTTTATAGCTGAGAAGTGTATTCTTAATAATAGAGATGGAATAAATAGGGAAGCTCAAGTGACACGCATAGTGAAGATAGTGGTTGTCTCCTGTCATGCATATGAGGACAGCTGGAATCAATCTGAGGCTGAACAGGGGAGGTAACCAGCATGGGGCTTTGGCCTGGGACTGCTGAGAACACAGAGCATGCTGATGGCAGACAGCTCTTGTGTGCCACTTGTAACACAGGAAAGGTCCATTGGCTGCAGCAGAGCTGCTGTGTGTTGCAGCAGCTGAGGATCTGCTCCTTGCAGCTTTCTGCCTGTGGCTCAGCTGGAGCCAGGGAGCAAAGCATGAGCTGAACAGGAAAGACTTTAAGCAACCAGATCAGCAGTGGTGCTGGTTGGCAGTTGTTCTGTTTCTTTTTCGAGTGCACATCTGTTTTGGAAAGCAATTTTTCTGATGCCTTTGGTGCTGCTCCTCGAGTGGCTTCTTCAGGTTTACCTGGGCTCTGTGCAGATCAGCACAGTGATGTCTGCAGTATTTTTCATACTCCTGCAGCTCTGACTCTTCTGCTTGGGGCAGATTGAGGAGACAACCACATCAGCTTAACTCTGCAAGTGGATCCTCTCTTGTTTTCCTGTGATTTAGAAGAAACATCAGTGGTAAAAATGATACGAAGTCAGCAGATGACGTTTTCAGTTACTCTTTCCAGAACAGAATTGCATTGGATACACGTGTCCTGTGCCAAGCCAAGAGGCAAAGTTATGTCATAGCAAACATCTGTGTGCTTCCTTCCTTGGAGATTCATCCTAGGCCTGGAGGTTGGAGACAGCAATGGCCTTGCACTGCTTTGGTGCTCTGGTTAGAGTTGGGAGAGAGTAGCTTCTCAGTCTTTATTACTTCAGAAAAATAATACCTTATAATAAGAGTATCTTAATGCCATTGTGTTTAAAAAATAAGATGCTGGTATGTAATGCAAGTACATAAATAGCCAAAGTTTTCAGTAATTGTTCAGTGTTACTAAATTTGCTTTTATTTAACCTTCCGAGGTAACATATTAGGAAGACCTTCGGCGTGTTGGGAGAAACAAACAAAAAGTCTGATCAACTTAATCCATGTCCATATGCAGTTCTTTGAACACATTTCAGGTTTGGCTGCGATTCGGAGGGCGAAGTTGTGAGATGCAAAACGTGTTTTGGAGGAAGTGCACTGTAATGACTTCAAAGTGACTCGTGCTGCTTTTACCGAGCGGCGTATTGGCAGTTTTGATTCAAACATAATGAAGGTCTTTCCTGAGGAATCAGGTGACTTTTCTATTGCTTCAATTTTTGTGCAAAAAAAAAAAAATAATAAAAAAAAATCCATGTATTGCAATTTTTTTTTTTTTAAATAGGGTGGGAATAGTTAAAGAAAACTATTTTATGTAAGAACTGACAGAGAGATTTGCTTTGTATAATGCAAGCTGGCTTTAAAAAAGCATTGTAGCAAATTATTCAAGTCAATCATATGTTAATAGTTATGTGCAACCAGACATGCAAAACAATTGTATTTTTTTAAATAAATATTTTTAACAAAGTTCCTGATCTTTTGGCTGTTTGGTTTTTTTTTTCCTTCAGTGGAGGAAACTGAAAGTTACAGCTGTGGGGCAGTGTGCTCCGTGCTAATGACTGTGCTAATGAGTTGATCAGACCTTCAGCTAACCTGTCTTGTTCACAGAGGCAGAGGATCCCACACGTTTTGAATGGAGACGGGGCTGCTGGTGCCAGCTTTGCAGTGCCAGACTCTCTTTGGGCCAGCTCAGCTACCTGCACCTCCTGCTGAAGATCTTTTGGTGAGTGGCTGCTTTCTTTATGCAGTGATAAAGGCAAAGTGGGAGTTGGAGTTGCAAAGCATGCCTTAACCAAAAGAAGCTACGGCAGGGGAGATTCAGGCTGGACATGAGGAAGTATTACTGTTTAGAAAGGGTGGTCAGGCACTGCAATGGATGCCCAGGGAGGTGGTGGAGTCACTGAGCCTGGGGGTGTTCAAGGAAAGGCTGGATGTTGTGTTGAGGGACATGGTTTAGTGGGAGCTGTTGGGAATGGGGGAACAGTTGGACTGGGAGATCTTTTAGGTCTTTTCCAACCTTGGTGATTCTATGATTCTAAGCACTGCTCTGAAAATAGCAGTTAGCTAGGTGCCACCCATCTGCAAAGCCACGCTCAGGTACTTATTTTTGTTAATTAGCTGCCAGCACTTGGCACGATGTCTTTCGAAACGAACTTTCTCAGTTTATTGTTCCATGCTCGTTTCCTCTACAGCAACGGAGAGAATGCTCTCATAGGGGGAGGAGCTTTAGTAATGACAGGTTTTTGGGTTTTGGTTTTTTTCCTACCGCTGGGTTTTGTAGTTCACCCCTTATTTTTCATCCCAGCTCTGTCGAGGAGAGTAACAGTGACATCCTGTGGCTCTAGAGAAGAATTACTGCTCTGGGTGCCAACGAGAAGGGCTCCTGAAGCACAGCCGTGTGTTAAGGGCAGGTCAGCAAGACTTCCCTTCAGAGAGGCTTTCTGCAGAAGGTAGTGATGGAAGGTAAGAGCTGCTGCTTGGAAAAACAGCAATTCTAAGGAAGGTTTAACAGCTGTTAGATTCAGTCTAAATGTGAGAGCAGAACTGTTGGAGGTAGCAGATTATCCTGGCCCCAGAGGGCTTCAGTTATCCGAGTCCAGTCATGCTGAGAATCTAGCAATCAATAAATCACCTTTAATTAAACACAGCTTTATATACACACGTACATATGTACATCCACATACAGCAGTTAAAGCAAAAAGTACATGTCCAATCACTCACTGAAGAAATAGATGCATGTAGCTTTACATTCTCCTGAAGCCAGTCCTTTCTTTATCGCTTGTAATAGGCCATGCATGGGGGTATAAGAGTACCTTACAGAAGGCACCTTTTATAATAAGTATTGCACAGATTAAGCAGCTGGAGTCTGGCTCCCAAATCTCTCTGTTTAAGCTTCAACTGGAAGCTAGAAATAAAACTGCCCTAAAAAACACTGCAACTGTAGCAGCTAAAATAACGACTTAAAGCAAAACAAACCATCACAACTCATAACTCATTCTTGACTCGTTAAAAAAACAAAAACAAAAACAAAAAAAGCTAAGGATTTTAATAATCAAGAGGCCCCAGCATGCTGAATAAGACACTGTCTTAGTGAATGGGTCTGGTACTGTGTATGATACAAGAATCAACTGTGCAAATATAGATAGATCCTGCTACCACTGTGCACTTGGTGGGTTCTACCAATGGCATAATTTTTTCTGGAAGTATTCCTGGTGATTGCATATACTCCCGTGTTGCACCAAGAAGGAATTAAAAGCCAGTATTGTGCTGTAGGTTTTTAAGGCTTCCTGTTCTTTACAGACCAGAAGAAAAACCTGTCGAGTTCAGTGACTTAAGCCAGGAGATGGTCAAAGTCCTACATCTGGAACAAACAGACCTTCTTTGTTCCCACCCTCCATTCTGGATTTGTGTGAAAGCTCATTTGCAGGTTGTTCAACATCATCCCTGCTCTATTCATAGCCTTTTGGGTGTAGGGTCATTCTGATGTTTGCAGTCTTTTTGGTCCATTGTGGCACGGGCAACTTGTGCTGAGCTTGCTGTGTTGTTCGAGGCTGTTTTCTTGATTCTGACTTACCCAATCTAGTGTGCTTTTGATTGTAGGAAACTTGTATGATTTAGTCATTAAGTGCAAAATCATCCTTAATAGTACTGCTTAATTGTGTGCTGTTTTATTGCTTTTCCAGGGCTTGGCTACTTCTTCAGCGCTGATACTGTCCGCTGTCATCCATTACTGCTGGCTTGTCAGGTGAGGCAGCATCCATATCTGCAAAATGGACATGAGGAAATTGCCAGCTCTATCATCCATCCCATCCCACTTGTTTTGCTTTGCTGATCGTGGAAGAAAGGCCTCAATTTCCAGTAGCCTGGGGAAGTTATTTGCCTGTCATGCAGCCCTCCTTTTGTAAAAGGTGCTTAAGGAAGGAATGTAGAGCATGTAGAGTGATAAACAGGTAAGAGAAATCTGGACATCTCCCTTTGGATAGCAGCTGTTCCCTGGCTAAAACCCAGGGAGCAACTGTCTGTGTGCAGTCTGTCCTAGCAGGGCTTGCTCCTGCTAGCTATGCAGTAGCACAGTGGTGCTAGCACAGCTAAGATCCTATTTGATTTGTGATATCCACAGATTGTTCCTTTTTTTTTCCTTGCTCCTCCAAAAGCAAAGAAAGCAAACCCTGAGCTGTGGCTGCCAAGGCTTTGTGGGCAAGTCAGAGCAGGAAGAGGGGACAGGAAGCAGCAGTAAAGTAAACATTTCCTTTCATTTTGCTGAAGTGCTGCACCCTGGTTGTGCGTTGATGCATAATGCCATTCTTCCTCTCATTATAAAGCAGGGCTGAGTGCTGGTGCTTTCTTACCTGTTGAGGGCTTGGGGTACATCCTGTGGAAAAACAAGAGGAAAGCATAGAAGGTAAAGGCCAAGCCTCCAAAGATCATCCCGCAGACTAGGAAACTGTAGCTGCCCTGATCGTGTATAATCTGCAATTGGAGAGAAAAGAAAAAGCAGCAGAGGTGTCATCACAGCATTTCAATACCTAATTGGCATTCGGTGAGAGCTTTACTTTTTGATAGCTCAAGCTCTTGGAGCAGCTGTCCAAAACCTGGACTAAGATTTCTAGTGAAGTTCAGGCAGGTTTTGGCACTCCTCATCTTCTCCCTTTGCCCACACTTACCGATCCCACCAGCAGCTGTAGTACCATCTCTCCAATTCCAGCTCCTGTCACTAACACAGTTGTGGCACAGCCTGAAAAGAAACAGCACAAGTGATAGTGACAGCCAGCAGGACCAGCCTGTAGCCACTTCAGATTGCAGAGAAATGCTCAGTGGAAGTTTCCATCCAATGGTGAGACTGACTCGTGGGAGTAAGAGAATGAAAACATTAATACAAAAAACATCTGTTCTGTCACTTGTCCCCATCAGCAGAAGTGCTGTTGCTTCTTACTGAAAAGATTTTCATTCTTCTGTATCACTGAGGTTGGCAGTGACCTCCTATAGGGGCTGGCCAAGGGATTTTCTGTTTGCTGATAACCTGGGTGATGCTTTCAGAACTGACATTCTTGTCTGAGAGCCCTGAAGCTGCAGGAAACTAAGAAGCAGTCTGGATCCCTGCCTGTGGAAGTTATTAGTGCAGCAAATCCGGGATTTGTGCAGTCAGCTTTTCCAACTACAAGCTCAAATGAAGATGGTATTCAAAAACAGACCTTTCTTCTAATCCTCCTAAGCATCCCTAAAGCAGGAGGGGGGACCTGCTGGCTGTCATTGTACCTGAGCTCTAGGCTTGAACACCTGCCTGCTTTCAGATTGTGCCAAGTGTGCCCACATCCCCACTCACCTTTGTACTGCAGGATGTCCTCAGTGTAAGCCAGCATGCTGGGGAAAGTGCTGCTGAGAAACAGACCCAGAGATGCTGTCCCCACAAACAAGAAGACAACGCTGGAGGAGAAGATCAGGAGCAGGAGGAAGGTTATCAGGACTCCAATCTGTAAGCAACAAGCACAGAGTCAGCAGGAGGGCAAATGCTGAATTAAAATGAATATTATGGAGGCAGCAGTCTGAATCGTTAACAAGTCTTACTCATCAGGCTGAAGAGTTCAGTTGCTCCATAACTTCTCACACCCCACCTCTCACAAGAAGAGTAAAGCCAAAGTGCCAAAGGCATTAAACCAAACCTGCCCTCACTTCAGTCGTGCTGCAGTATGCAATAATAGCAAGAACATCTCAGCTGTGCTGGTAACCGTGGCACAGGGAGGCAGCAGAGGGAGCTCTTCTATACCAACTTAAGGTATCTTAAATATTCAAGCCCTGGTGATGGGCATTTGCATATACACAGGAGCAATTTGGATTTGCTGTAATGATGGAATGACTGCCACGAGCTGCTCTGTCTGACTACATGCAGCAGTACCAACAAGCAAGCACTGCATGAAATGTGTGTTTTTGGCCTTGGGTGATGTTATTGCCTTTGAAAGGAAGTGAGGAGGCTTCCATTAAGAGTTGGAGGCTCCTCCCTTCTCTCTCCAAATATGAGCAGCTGCTAAAATGCCTTGTCCTCAGGTTTTAGAGAGCAGTCAAACAGCTCAGAAAGTGATAAAGCCTGTCGAGGTGAAGCTTATGCCACATACCTGATCTAGAGCTGATGGGGCTGAGCCTTCCCTGCTCCCATGTCACTACACTAGTGACTGCATTCTGAAACAGGAGGTTATTGTACTCATCTTAAAAATAAGGGCAAAGCACTTCACTGTAGCTGTTGGTATATAGATTTAGTTGACGAGGTGACCAGCAATAAGGTGCCAAGCAGGCTTCCTCATCTGTCAGCAACAGATATTAGCATAGGACTAATATCAGAAGGTCCCACTGTGCATTGTCACCACCCTGTTTTGTTTATTAACAGTAAAACCTGCCATCATAACTTCTGGTTTAAATAAATTGTAGATTAACTGCCATCTCTTCATGATGGGGAAGTGGGACCAGTTCCCTCCCTGCTGTCTGTCATATCCTTCTGTGCATCTCTCATATATCCTCTCAGGCTTCCATTTCCTTCCTTCAGGTGAATACATTTTATTAATTTAAGCAAGCAAATATAACATTGATTTGTTTGACAACCAGTAATGTCTAAGCAGAGAACTTTCAAGCTAGCTGCCTTCCTTTCCCCAAGGCTGACACAGACATTGATTTCCCTGTGGATGCCAGAGAAGATGATGTGAAAATAAATGAAGTTGGCAGATGGTTTACTAGTTGCTTTCAGAAACCTCAAGCTCAGAAAAGCAGTGCAACCACACTGCAGGTGTTAGCTACCTCCTGCATGACAGTTACATAGGGATGGTGGTGCAGCTCACCCCAATGGTGTGCTTGTCACAGTGCCTGCTGCAAAGCTACCCCAGGTATGGCATCAAAACAGGACAGCAAGCAGGAGGAAGGTAGGAACAGCCTTACCACATTGATGAAGACCATGGTCGCTGGCTTCATTCGGTAGGACACGGGGATGGAGATGAGCCTGCCCAGTGTGATGAATCCCCAGAAGAGGCTGGGCAGGTAACCAGCCACCTTGTGCACTACAGAGAGAGGCTCTTCCACGGCGTAGCTGTAAATGAAGCCCGAGTATTCACCCTGTGGGGAAGGCAGAGCAGCACATCACGGTGATGCGATGATCTCCAGGCCTTTGCAACGTTAACTTCAACCTGTCCTTCAATTCTGACAATACAGCATTGCAGGAGAGTCTGCCTACGGATTTGCTACTGGTCCTCAGTGAACCTTATTCCCAAGAGTTTGCAGCTGGAGTCAGAAGTAGAACACAGGACTGAGACACTCCTAAAAGGGCACCGCTGAGCAGCTGCACTAGGTAGGATGCGTGCTAAGCTCTTACCCTTAGAGATGCTCTCTTCCCCTAGGACTGTCTTGGAATTGCATACTCTGAGCCCATCTCACAGTGAGAACTCAGAGTAAATCATCCTTGAAGATGGAAGCCCTGGAGAGGTTCTGTCTCTGACAGCTGCTCGGTGTAACCCCACTCATCTTCCTGGATCCTGTTTAAGGCCTTAGTGAGACTCAGCAGTATTTTACCAGGAGTAGACTGAGACAAACCTGCTTGAAGGAGCAGCAGCCAAATGAGCCCTCCTCATCTGGAGGAGAACTATGAGCCCCCTGTGACTGCCCTGCTGGGGGATGTGCTGTCAGACCACTACAGAGAGACTGCATGCATGCTTTCCTCTTGGATACTGTGGACCCGTCAAGCAAAGAACCTCTGTTTCTTATGACATGAAGCTGTTTTTACACCCTGGCTAAAGCGAGAAGAGAATTCCACTGCCTGCAAGGACACCGTCACAACTCCAGCTCTACCCTGGCTAGGAGAGCAGCAGTAACCATCTAGCTGCAACAACACAGCGCCTAGCAGAAGGTACACAACCCTCCCAAGAAGCAGGGAACACATCAGCCAGAGCCATCAGCTTTTAATGAGCTACCTTGGGAACCCCACTGCTGCACAGACCATCAGGTCCAGCCCACTGCACACAGGGGACAAGTGGGTGTCTCTGGGCATGGGCTGTTGCTAGTGATGGGGAAGGAAGAAAGCCAGCTTTGCTCAGACAAGATCCTTCTATCGGCTGAACTCACCACAATCCCATCAGTCATGAAGAGAACAAGAGCCCCAGTGATGTGGACTGCGAAGTAGGTGTAAGAAGCCCCTCTGAAGTTTTTGCTTTGGCAGCAGCTAAATAAGTCATCATGACCTGGTGAAAAACAATGCAAAGCAAACTTAGCTGGAACGTCCCCCTGGGGCTGGGTAGTTGCCAGCCCACACTGGGGATTTGTTTTGTGCTCAGCTGCAGGACAGACATTCATAGGGACTGTGAACAACGTGCAGTGCTGCTAACCTCTGCCAGCACAATGTCTTTTATTTTTTATCTTTAAGCTACCTAAACCTTCACAAGGGATACAGCTATGCTCATAGGCTGACTGCCCACAGACTGGGATCCCAGCTCTCCAGGATATTTGCTCCTTAGCTCGCAAAAGCTGCTTTTGCTTCCCTTCCCATTTAGGAGCTCCAATTGCTGCTCCCGTTCTTAAAAGAAATAAACCCATTCAGCCACAGCACTCATCCTCAGAGCTCCTCACACATGGTACAAGCACACCAGAGTCCTGCCCAGGGCAGCTCACATTTCTCAGCTAAAAGGTGCTGAACCAAACAAGCCAACTCTGGGAAAGAGGGTGATAAACACACAGGCTGCTGTCACATCCTCTGACAACCACTGAGAACACCAGTCTGTCCAAACCAGCTGGGACTCAGCACCCTGCTGTGCCCAGCTGTCCCATCCTCAGGCTCACACCACGCTGGTGGCTGTTCCTGCACTGCCAACGAGGAAATTCTCACCACTTCTATAGGGAAATGAGGGATTTTGCCAGCACAGAAACATCTGTCACAGATCACAGTAGTCGGCCACGCAGCCATCCTGCTTCTCTAAGCGTTGCTCTCAAACGTGTGTAAGAAAAGGGTGGAGATGAGAAGAGCGTGGATTGTATGAAAAGGGGCAGCAGGGTTCAGGAAAGAAACACTTCATGTCTCAGCTTAGGGGAGTGCTGGTAGACGAACACAACCTTATTAGACACCAGAGAACCCACACCTTCAGGTGCATTCCTTGCAGCACCTCAGCACTCCAGCTGCCTCCACTTCCTTCCAGCATTCCCTAAAATTGTATTGTTGGGGTGAAGCTGCCACACCTGCAGCAGTGCTCTTCTCACAACTGAAGATGTGACTGCTTCAGAGATTCACTGTTCAGCTGGAGGATTCGCTTGGATAACGTTTCTCCTGGGCAGTACAGGACAGTGTGAAGTTGCCCACCAAGAGGGCTGTAGTCACCAGTTCAAACTATTGCTGGTGTTTAACTTTGTCCCAAACAAGTGCACTGTCCTTACACCTCTCAGATTCATACCAGTCAGCATTCTGCAGCAATCATTGCTTTCACATGGAGCAGACAGAGGAGCCAGCTCTAAACCTGACTGAAAACCAGAAGAAAATAGAGGGGCAGAACTTTCACTTGTGCCTACACGACCTGGTAGCGCGGGTTTAATTTCAGGGCAGCTCACAGGAGAGCAGCCTGGAATCCCTGCAGCCCCATCAGATCTGAGGTCAATTGGGCACCAAACCGATGGGATCATTCGGGCACTTTTGGATTACATTCACATTTATGTTTTGGAAAGTTTTCTCCTTAGACAATAGCAATTAAGCTCACTTGTTAACCACCATGGAGACAGTCAGAAAGAAGGCTCTTTCTCGCTCGGCTCACCCCCTGTTCCCCAGAACCATAAGCGAGGTGCCTGCAGCTCACCTCCTGCAGCGTGGGCTCTGTGCACAGAGGCAGACAGGTCATCCTTCTCCACGGGACGTGCTTCCATTGCCAGTTCATCTGCTGACAGCAGTGGGTGGCTGCTGCTGCTGAAGCACGGCACCATGCGCTCCTTGTAGAGCAGGAAGAACACGGCGATGGGCACCGGCAGCTGAGGAGGAGCAGAGAGGGGCAGGTAAGGGCAATGCAGAGCTCACACAAACTGCAGTTCCTCATTCCCAAGGGCCTTTCGGGAAGCCCAACCCATCCCTGCTAAGCACATCCCTCAGTGCCACATCTCTGCGTTCCTTGGACACCTCCAGGAGTCACCATCCAACTCCATCAATGCACGTCTGCCTCTACCCAAGGAATAATAACATAGGTTTTGCCCATGGAGAGCAAAGAGGTATAAACGAGAGTCCTTTGGCTGGAACTGTGAGGAACAAGCCAGCTGTTCCAAGACCTGCTTTGCCCATCTCCAGCCATTAGCAGGGGTTGCTCAGCATCTCATGAGATGAGCTCCTGGTTCCCAGGCCAACGGCTGCAGCCAGACAGCTGCAAGCAGCCCCTGAACCCAGCCTATGCTGCAGGACCTGGGATGCAAGCACCCTCTAATCCACAGCTGCATGACATCCACACCCCATGGTCAGCACTGCATGGGCTGTGCCAGCATTCAGTGTCCCCATGTAGGGACAAAACACAGGGCCAGTGAGCTCAGACCTGCCTTTGGGACACCCTGCATGCACCCCGACTTGGTGGTGCCTGCAAACCCAGAGGGACTGCTCTTTTTTAGGGGAATGAAAATAGAGGGAAGTAAATGAAAAGCTGGGTCTGCCCCTGAGCAGCCTCCTCCTCCCTGCAACTGAGCGGTGTTTACTCTGCAACAAATGGGGAGAAAGCCAGGAAATCCTAAGTGACAGCTCACTCTCCAGCCGCCCAGCTCTTGTTTTCTCCATGTCTGTGAGCAAGTGTGAGCTTGGGCTCCAATTTCCTGCTTTTTGTTGGCTTGTGGCATTATTTAAATGTATGGAGAATTCCCCCCACACCCGCCTCTCTTGCCTGAATTTCATTTATGAGGACTTCATTGTTCTGGGAACAATGGGAATAGGAACAGTGAGTTCGGTCCCATGGAAGAAAAATGCATTTGCTTGATAGTTCTAATCCTTCCGGAGGTCAGGACCAGATTTTATTCTTCTGAATTGCAAATTTTGCAAAATAAAGAAACGTCACAACAACAACAATAACAACAAAAAACGAACCAGAGGGACTGGCCATAGAGATAACAGCTCCAGGCACTTCAGGAGCACTCAGTACCTGCATGGAGGGGATCCTCAGTTCCCAATGGAACTGTGCACGCATCCCATCTGCAAAGCAAGCTGCTCCCTTTCCCTATATCCAGATGATATCTCAAAGCTGGCGGTGCCTTGAGTGCACGAGAGCCCAGACCCTACGGGACGTAGGTTGGTCACCGATGGCTCTCTGCTCTGGCTCCCTCTGGCAGGAGATTCCCAAAAGCTGTGACTCCATGGCACAGCCTGACCATAAACCCAGGCTGTGCACAGGGACAGGATGTCCTGGGAAGCACTTTGCTCATTACACGGGCAGGTGGAGAAGAGCAAACAGAGCTGAGTGCCAACACGCTGCCTGGGCACACATCACTGGGACGGCCCACACTGCAGGCACAGCTGCCCCATCCCAGCCCTTCCACTGCCAGCAAGTGCTCCAGCTCCATGCACTGAGCCAAAGGGGACATCGCCTCCACCCCTTGCAGGTCTTAACCATCAGAAGCTCCATGATTTGTTGTGCAGCTCAGTGTGGGCGCACCTCCAGCATCCCAGTTTCTCATTTCAGATCCCCAGCGTCGCTCCCTGTGATGCTCCCAGCACCCATCCCAGCACAGCGCTCCCCCAGGACAGACAACCATCCGGACAAGCACGGCCCTACAGAGGAACGTTGCCCCAATTTCCAGCCCCTTTGGATGAGGACATTTCCGTTCTGTGGGAAACTGAATTTTAAAGTGTAGTTTTTGTTCCAAATCTGGATGAAAAGCCCCAAATTTTCCTCCCAGCCAAATTTTTTTCATTCCGAGAGTCGTCCAAGCGCTTCATCTGATAACTACAGCAAAAACATTTTGCTTCAATAGCACCACAGCGGAGTCAGCTTCACACTCTGCACCGATGCCAAAGTCAAATTGAGACATTTCGACTTGAAACAAAGCAAGGAATGGAAATGAATCATTGCAGCCATCAGGATACACACAACACTGTGAAAACGGGTGTGGAGCTGTGGTTTGGCCATTCAAAAAATAACAACAACACAGTTGCTGGTCCTGGTTTCCATTCCTACAGCTCGCTCATCCCAGCCACTTCCCTGGGGTGTCAGCACTGAATGCTGTGTCCTCTCCATGCTGCACACGCTCACATTCAAAATAGATATTAAATGCTCAAGAACTCAATTATCTTGCTCAAGATACTGGCAAAGTAGGCAATGCCCTGGTGTAATTAAAAGCACATTTCCCACGGCACGCACAGTGTCAGAGGTAACTAAAAGTGCTGCTGGGCAGGGAGCATCCTTCCGTGCATTGCACAGAGTCACTGCCCAGCAGTTCTGCTGTCTGTTTCTCTCTCATCAGCAGCTGCTACGCACACAGCCCTGCTGGGCGCTTTGGTTCGGTTTCTCATCTGTCCTCACACCTCCTTTCTCACTGCCAGTGACGCCCCAAACGCCCAGATCCCATCCACTTACATTGATGAGGGCCATGATCCAGAAGGCGTAGGAGACGCGTGTGACCACCATGCCCTTCATGGGCAGGTCGTAGTGGGACAGGTTGCCCGGGTGGTGCGGCACCAGGGACTTGCGGATGTGGGGCAGGTTGGTGGAAGCGTTGGCCGTGCCATTGGACAGGATGCAGTTGGTGTCAGAGAGGAAGGGGTCGGCTATCAGGGGGCTCAGCAAGGCTCCGAAGCCCACGAAGAAATGCAGAGCCTGTGGGATGAGGCAGGGATGGGGTGATGGAGGAAGAGGAGGAAGCGCAGCTGGGGGGTCAGGGGCTGTGTGCTCACCTGCAGGAAGATGGCAGAGTCCTTCTGGTAGATCTTCACCAGCTGCATGTTGGAGATGGTGTCGATGCAGCCCATGGCCAGGCCTGCCACGGCCATGACCACAGCCAGCACCACCACATTGTGGCACAGTGGGATGATGGCAAAGACCAGGGAGATGGCCAGGGATGAGGCGAAGAGCGCTAACAGCGACTGAGCCAACCTGGGGCAGGAAGGGGAAAGAAAAAAAGAGTTATCTCCGTGAGAGCCACATCTGCACCACAGCACTACGTTGTGTTCTCAGCCCTAGGCCAGCCGGTGGCACAGCTATCAGCAGGATGTGTCCGTGGGCTGTGTCTCGTGCTGTCTCTGCTCCAGCACGTGCTCTTCTGATGCTGCAATTGGGATGCTGAGCCACTTGCTGCCTTCTGTGCATCCTCATACAGCCACCACCACCCCACAGCACGGCCATCTCCTGCCTCAAAGACGTGTCCCCTTTCAGCCAGCTTTCGAGGAGAAGAGGAATCTTCTCTAGAAACCCATTCTGCACATTCCAGGGCAGAAGAGGGAGGAGGACCTCCCTTTGTTACCTGCGTGGATCTGCATTCTCCCTCCATGCCCTTGCGCTGTGCTCTGCACGGGCAGCATCTGCATCCTGCAGAACAGAGCCCAGGTTGGCACCGCACAGCGCCTGAGCTGCCAAGTGGGAAGGCAGGAAGGAAGGAAGGAAACGGGGAGCAGACAGCCGAGAGCTGGAATCACTGAGGCCAGCAGAAAGATGGGACTTCAGAGTCACAGCAGTGAGTAAATAGCGGAGGCACCTCCCAGCCTGCGAGGAGCCCGGGGCAATGACCAACAGCTCAGAGAAATGAGGTGTAATTAGCAGCTGGGGGAACGCATGGGCATAGGACCAGCAAGCGGAGCACCCAAAGAGGCAGAAGTGATGGGCAGCAGGGCGGCTCAGCCCCAGGCACACCACTGTGCTTGTGCACAGCCCTCCTTCATCCCAAACCCACAGCAACGTGACCTCCCACATCCTGCCTGTGGCTTGAGCTGTGCTCCAGCAGCACGGGGAGGAACAGCACAAGGACGGCTGCCCCTTATCAGGCGGTGACACGAGGTGCTCATAGCCTCCATCCTGCAGGAGCCCATGGTTTGCAGAGCCTTAAATGCTGACCTCCCTCTGACGGCACCCAGTGATCCCACATGTGGTTTTGCAGCGAGGGAGTGAGATGCATGCGGGGAAAGCAGTGAACACATGGGAGGGAAGCAGCCTTGAGCCTGCAGGGAGGCTGGGAGTGATGGAGCAACATGCACTGAGACATCCCTGAGACACCTCTTCTCTCCTGCAGGCCCAGTACTGCCAGTGCCACACTCATTACTGGAGTTAAATATTAATTGCAAATAATGGGATGTCCTTATGAAGCACTGAATGGCTCATTTTGGTGTTCCCAAAGTGCAGAAACTGCCTGCAGCCGTAAGACATTCATCACACACTCACACCCCGAGACAGTGGTACACAGCCTGGGGGCACTCAGCCTTTGGGGGTACTGAGGGGTCATCCCTTCCCCCAACACAGCACCCAGATGCTCTCGAGGGCGCTGCTCAGCCCCTCACAGCAGCTGGGGGTGTTTGCAGAGACAAACCCTTGGGATGCATCCTCAAAGGAGACACCTCAGGACTTCAGAGTGGCTCTGAACCCCACGTCCCGATGGTGTGAAACTGATGTGCCCCTCCAAAGGGCACCCAGATGCAGTGTTGTGTTGCAGCACCCACCACCTCCCCAGCCCTGTGTCCCCAGCAGAGCTCCCTGCTTGCAGCCACCTCCTGTCCCAGGCACTCAGGTGTGAAAGGAGGCCAGTAGCATCACAAAAGCTCCTTTGATTTTCAGCAGGAATCGTGAAAATGATCCCTTCTGCTTTTTTTGGTCCCTGGAGCACTCAGCACACCTGGCTGCATCACAACCCAAGAAGGAATCCACATCTGACACCCAGAGGTCCAGGCCGACTTCCATAAGACGCAGGGCTGTGCTGTGTCAATGGCAGCAAACTCGCCCTCTCCCCCCCACGCACAGTAACATAACCCCCAGCTCACTGCTCCTGTAGCACCATCCGACATGAAGGATGGTTTTCCAGACCTCAGGAAGCATATTCTACATCCCTCAAGTCAAGAAGACGAATGACCATCAGGTTAATTCCACTCTGTGAAAGCAATAATTAAAAACCCAGAGCCCTAAGAGGATGAGGGGAGGGCTGGGGGGCTGCCATCTCACACCTCTCCTGCTCCAGCTGTGCTGTGCCTTTGGGCAGAGCCTGTGCAGGGCTCCGGCACAGGGCAGCTCCCCACCCCCCAAAACCCTCTGCTCTCCTATTAACGCCAATAGGATGAGCTCAGGCTGTTCTGACACCAAGAGCAAAATCAAAAATGCAGGAGGACACAAAAATGCAGCTTCGGGATGGGGAAAAAGCAAACTGAGGGCACAAGCACGTGGTCACCGCAGTGCTTCTGTCACAAGTGCACATGGCACAGCAGCAAGGAGGGAGCACAGCTTCACAAGGCAAGCACAACATCCAGCCAAATGGAAAAGTGAGGAACGCAAGAGGGGATGCAGGTGCATGGAGCCCACACCTGGATTTTGCACTGCTTCAGGATGGGCTCAGCTCCCACTGCAAATCCCAAGTCCAGGAGGTGTTTCGAGCCCCAGACCCCATCCCCACTCACGCAAGGGAGTGATTTCACAGCACCACATGAAAAGTTGAATTCTGAGCCAAGAGCTGCAACTACAGCTCAGCAAAACCCCAAGCACGAGTTTGCAGAGAGCAGAGCACGTTGTGAGCACTGCAGCAGCAGGGGCTGCTCCGCCATCCCACCAGCAAAGCAGCTGCTGGGCACCGAGCACTGCAAGCACCAGCTGTGTTTTTTTTTTGCTGAGAAAATTTCTTCTTTAAAAGCTAGCAGGAATTTTAGAGTTCATCCTGGCAACCAAAACGGACACTGAGTTGCAGAGGGATTTGGGCCATCGTTATGCTCTGAACTCGCAGTGCTCCAGGACTTCAGCCCCACGTTCAGCAGCTTCTCCGGGGTGAGGAGCGCTGGCACAGCTCACAAAGTGGGACAACATCTGTCGGTGCCCCAGTGCCACCTTCACCAACCAACACTTCCCACTCAGTTCCCTTCTCAATTCATGAGACAAGAGTTTAACTGAAGCGTTTCCAAGCGGGTGCCTTACAGAAGTGAAGCACTTATGCAAGATTCCTTTAGGTGCCTGTTAAATATATACATGTGTGACGTATGGAGATGCACATGGAGGTGCATTACGCCACTGCCCAAACAATTACCAACAATGTAAATAATCAGCTGATTCGCCCTACAGCACGGCTGTCCATCACACCTCAAACGCAGGTGGCGACCCTTAGGGCTGAGCCTTGGGCATTATTTGCTTTAAAGACACTTCGGAGGGTGGGATCGGGGTGGGCTGCCCCAGCGACCCCTGCAGGTTCCCGGGTATCACCTCCCGACCCCGGGGTTCTCAGACCTGGTCAACGCAACGCCCTCGATCCGCGATTTGGAAAACATCCTCTAGGAAGTTCTCACTTCAGCTTCGCCGTCCCCGTCCCGAGCTGCGGGGTTCGCGTCTTTCCGTGCGGGTGGGAGCGGAGCCGCCCCGCAGCCCCATCCCTCCGTCCCGCATCTCCGCGCCCATCTCAGCCCCCACGGACCCGAAGGGGCAGCGCTGTTCCTCCACCCCCCAGAGCAGAGCGGCCCTTACGTCCTCTTGAAGACCCCTCCGAGGCAGCTGCCGAGCAGGAGGCAGAACTGCTGCGAGAAGAACACCCAGGTGATCTGCGAGAGCGAGCTCTGCGTCTGGCAACGGAGGTCCAGCAGCGTGGGCCCCAGAAAGGCGATGCAGAGGCCGAAGCTAAAGAAGACGCTCCAGTAGGTGAGGGTGGGCTGCAGGTTCCTCCGGAACCGAGCCGATACCCGCTCGTCCCACCACATCCTGGGCGGCGGCGCGGGGCGGCCCGCGGAGATGCGGCTCCCGCACCGCCCGGCCCCGCTCCCAGCCCGGCCCCGCCGCCGCCCCGCTCCCCGCTCCTCCTCTCCGGGCTGTGGCTCCGAAGCCCGCCGGCCGCTGACTCCGCCTCCGGGACCGGGGACCGCCGCCGCCTCCCGGGGCCGGGCGGAGCCTTCCTCCGGCGGGCGGTGCGGTACGGAACCCACGAAGCCCACCCGGAGCCCCCCGAGACTTCAGCGCATCCCCGTGGGGGGAAAGAACCGTCCGAACCGCCACCTCCAGCATCACCTCGAGGTGGGGTGGAGCAGCATCTCATCCAGAAAGAGGAGGGCAGCTCCCACTGCTCGCTCCGAGCTTCACTGCTCAGACTGCATCCATCACAACAGAAAGCAAAGCAGCAGC